AATTTGAGATCTTTCTATTAATATCTTTTTGACGTAGGCAGTTAGCTTTATTCACTTTCCTCTTAACACTGTTTCTGTTGCATCTCAGAGCTTTTGGTATCTTGTGTCTCTATGTTCATTTGTTTCAAATAATTTTTTGATTTTTGCCTTAATTTCTTTGTTTACCCAAAACTCATTCAGGAGCAAGTTGTTTAGTTTCCATGTATTTGTGTGGTTTTGAGAGTTCCTTTTGGTACTGATGTCTAATTATATTCCACTGTGTTCTGAGAAGATGCTTGGTATGATTTTGATTTTTTAAATTTGTTGAGACTTGCTTTATGACCAAACATGTGGTCAATATTAGAGTATGTTTTGTGGGCAGATGAGAAGAATGTATATTCTTTCATTATTGGTGGAATATTCTGTAGATGTCTATTAGGTCCAATTAGTCAAGTATTGAATTTAAGTCTAGAATGTCTTTGTTAGTTTTCTTCCTTCATGATCTGTCTAATGTTGTCAGTGGAGTGTTGAAGTCCCCACCTCTGCTGTTTCTCTGATTATTGTGTGGCTGTAAAAGCCTTTTCTTAGGTAGAAGTAATTATTTTATAAATCTGAGTGCCCCAATGTTGGGAGCATATATATTTAGGATCATTAAATCTTCTTGAATTGAATTATTTATCATTATATCATGCCCTCTTTGTCCTTTTTTACTGTTGTTAGTTTATGGTCTAATTTCTCTGATACAAGAATAGCATTCTCTGCTCTTTTTTATTTTGTTTGCATGATAGATCTTTTTGCATCCCTTTACTTTGAGCCTATAGTTGTCATTACATGTGAGATGGGTCTCTTGAAGACAGCAGAAGGATGGGTCTGTGTTTTAATTCAGTTTGCTACTCTATGTCTTTTAAGTGGAATGTTTAGGTCATTTATGTTCAAGGTTAATATTGATATGTGAGGTTTTGTTTCTGTTGTTCTGTTTTTGGCTAGTTGCTTTGTAGTCTTGATTATGTAGTTGTTTTATGCCGTCTGTAGGCTATGTACTTATGTGTGATTTTGTGGTTACATGTATTGTTCTTTCATTTCTATGTTTAGGATTCCCTTAAGCATCTCTTGTAGAACTGGTCTGCTGGTGCCAAATTCTCTCAGTGATTACTTGCCGGGGAAGTATTTTATTTGTGTTTTGTTTATGAGGCTTAGTTTGGCAGGATATGAAAATCTTTGCTGGAATATCTTTTCTTTTCTTTTCTTTTCTTTTTTTTGAGACAGAGCCTCACTCTGTCACCCAGGCTGGAGTGCAATGGTGTGATCTCTGCTCACTGCAACCTCTGCCTCCTGGGTTCAAGCAATTCTCCTGTCTCAGCCTCCGAGTAGCTGGGATTACAGGTGCATGCCCCCATGCCTGGCTAACTTTTTGTATTTTAGTAGAGATGCGGTTTCAACGTGTTGCCCAGGCTGGTCTGGAACTCCTGAGCTGAGGTGATCCACTTGCCTCTGTCTCTCAAAGTGTTAGGATTACAGGCGTGAGTCACCGTGCCTGGCCCAGGAACTTATTTTCTTTAAGAATGCTAAAAATGGGCCCCCAATCTCTTCTGGCTTCTAAGTTTTCTGCTGAGAGACTGCTGTTATTCTGATAGGATTCCCGTTATAGGTAATATGGCCCTTTTCTCTAATGACTTAATATTTTTTCTTTGGTTTGACCTTGGAAAGTCTGATGACTATGTCTTAGGGATGGTCAGCTTATACAGTATCTTGCAAGAGTTCTCTGGATTTCTTGTATCTGCATGCCAACTTCTCTAGTGAGATAGGGGAAATATTCTTGGATTATATACTCCAATATGTTTTCCAGTTGCTTACTTTCTCTTCTCTCCAAGGAATGATAATAAATGGTAGATTTAGTCATTTTACATAATCCCATATTTCTCAGAAAGAAAAGAGAATCTTAAAAAATTCTCTTTATTTTTTTTTTCTGACTGGGTTGATTCAAAGGACCAGTCTTTTGAGTTCTGAAATTCATTCTTCTGCTTGGTCTAATCTGTTGTTAAGGCTTCCAGTTTTGTTTTGATACTCCTGTAGTGAGATATTCAATTTCAGAAGCTCTGTTTTGTTCTTTCTCAGTATAGCTGTATCATCTTTTAAACCTTGGATTATTTCTCTGGCTTCTTTGCATTGGATTTCAACTTTCTATTGGATCTCATTGAGTTTCCTTGCCACACATATTCTGAATTCTGTTTCTATTATTTCAGACATTTCAATCTGACTAGGATCCATTGCTAGGGAACTAGTGTGATCCTTTGGAGGTAACAAAGCACTCTGGCTTTTTGTATTGCTGAAGTTCTTGTGCTGATTTCTTCTTATCTGAAGGAGTTGATGCTTCTTTATCTTTTTGAATTTGCTTTTGTTTGAATGGAGTTTTTTGACTTTTTGTTTTTGTTTTTTTTCCTGGAGGATATAACTGTTGTGTATGTTGTGTACAACCAATTGGCTTTGTTTCTGGGTGCTTTCAGAGCGGCAAAGCTCTATATGGGTTCTTTGGTTACGTAGAGGTTTACGCAGCGTGTTTGACAGGCACTGCTTGTAGCAATATTATTTTTGTTTGGTATGGTAATTCCGGCTGTAGTCCAGTAGATGGTGCTCAATAGAGCCAGCACATAGGCTCTTAGCTGCAATAGCCCTCAGTGGGGGTGGAGGCACTAGAGAAGTGCAAAAAACATGCTCCTCCAACTCAGTTACCTCCAGCAGGGGTGGGTCCAATGGAGAATCACAGAAAAGCAGCTTACTGCAGTACACACACTTACCAGGCCCCAACAGGAACGGCTCCAACGGGAAGGCGGGTGAGGGTGGAAAATGAGAGATGTTCCCTCTTTAAGTCCATTCCTAGGTCTTGGTGGTGTCTCTTTTAGTGGCTGGTGTCACACTTCCATTTCCTTTGTCCCAAGTAGGGCTTTGGTGGAGTGTGCTCCCTCCTTTCTTAGGGGCGGTTTGCACCAAGGACTGTCTCTAGAAGACCCTTTACTCCTTAGGTAACTGCCCATCCCCTGTGCTTGCCAAAGTTAGAATGAGTTGTGGAGTATGTTGGCAGGTGGTTTGGTGATGCAGTTGTTCAAAGGTGGAGGCTCCCTGGACAGGGTAGTGGCACTACCAGTGTGCAACCAATATGGCACCTGCTGTCTAGGCTTCTCAGCCCAGTGAATGGTTATGGGGCCTGCCCACCTCATGCTCCCTGACCCGGTGGGTCTCCCTCCAGTCTCTGCCCAGGTAGCAGGCCCAACCAGCTTCGCTTATCCCAAGCCATTTTTGTCCAGATCCCTGAGCCAGCCCAGGCATTCTGGGCTATGGAACTCCATAAGGGAGAAGTGGTGGCTGTTAGGCCATGCCCATCTTGGAAAAAGGAGGGGTGGGCTGGGTGCAGTGGCTCACACCTGTAATCCCAGCACTTTGAGAGGCCGAGGCAGGTGGATCGCCTGAGGTCAGGAGCTCGAGACCAGCCTGGTCAACATGGTGAAACCCTGTCTTTACTAAAAATACAAAAATTAGCTGGGCGTGGTGGTGGACGCCTGTAATCTTAGACTACTTGGGAGGCTGAGGCAGAAGAATTGCTCATACCTGGGAGGTGGAGGTTGCAGTCAGCCGAGATCGCACCACTGCACTCTAGCCTGAATGACAGAGCGAGACTGTTTATAAAAAAAAAAAAAAAAAAAAAAAGGAGTGACCAGCTCCCATGCTGGCATACAAACCTGTGCCATACTCTTTTTTGTGTTCCCCTACTTGAGCTCAGGACACAGATATCAACTTGATATCCCTGGGTGGTGTAATTGAGTCCTGGGGAGTTGGGAGTAGAACTGTGGATTTTTCCCCTGGCCCCTAGGGGTCAAGCACTGGCTGTGATGGGGGTGGTGAACTACTCCTGGGCTGCCAATAAAACACTCAGGCAGAGCTGTGCAGGCTGTGCTGTGGGCACTCTCCCACAGGAGCGGCCTCAGAGGTGGTCTTGGGAGGGGCCAGCAGGCAAAGGGGTGCATGGAATAGATCACTTTGGGCCTGTAGCAATGGTGGTGGGGCCTGTCTTGAGGCATGAGCATGCTCAGGCTCTGCTATTTCCTGGACTGGCAGATAGTAGGAGCTACAGCCACTCAGTGTAACATAGAAAGCCTTGGGGGATGAATGTCTGTGGTAGCATTATCCTGCAGCTGCACAGCATAGCAAAGCCTTCTGGGCTCTGTGTGGGTTCAAACTGTGCCTCTCCTTGTTCTTTGGGCTGCTCTGCCTGCCAGTCCAAAGGTCTGTGGGGGTCACAGGAGCTCCTGTGTCTAGGATCTCAGAAGTCCATGGCAGGAACGTGGTGCCCTGGGGTTCCTTCACTGACTCCTTCTTTAGGTCCATTCCAAGTCCAGGGGTTGGTTCTGGTGCCTGATGACTCTGCGCAGGCCTAGGGTCATGGGAGAGCTTTGAGTGCACGCTGAAGAGCTTGGACTACCCTTAGGTAATGGTGCAGCATCACAAGGTCTTACACAGAGGAGTAAAACAACCCAGTTTTCTCTGGGTTATGATCTGACACTGTGACCATGCTTGTAATAAACGGTGTTGTAATTTATCTGCTTTGGACATTTGTCACTGTATTTTTATCACTGAATCATGTATGGATCCACAAACCTTTGTGTAATATGACACAAATGTGCCCAGCCTGGTAGATGAAGGGCAAAGGGAGAGGGTTATATTATTATTGAAATCCTCATGTAATTGTTGGATTGTGATCAGGTAGATTATGGATGGACTAGGCAGAAGGCTGGGAGATGGAGGGGCTTGGCCAGTGACAGAGAAAATGCGTGACAGTCTTAGGATTCTGTGAAGGACCCAGAGGTAACAGGCTAAATTGGAACCAAATGTTGAAGTCAAGGTGAAACAATTATTTTATTTGTTTATTTAGGAAGATCATAATTTCCAGAGTGAGTAGGGGTGATTATTGATGTTTTGCGTTTCTATACACAACATAAATATGTATTTTAAGATGAAAGGCCACATACCTGAAAGACTAGATTGGCATTTTCATGCATTCCAAAAATTTCTGGGTCATCGATCAAAGGCAGATTTTCAATGTAGTCCTTAAACTCTTGTAGGCTGTCAGCCATGGGTGCAAAATAGATACCTGTTATTAAAAACACAGAAGACAAATATGTCTCAAATAGATTGGCTTTGTACTGCCAAGTTTGATTTTTCTTTGTGTGGTGCAGATGGTGGCTGCAATCAGCTGGCTCATGTAGCAAGGGGTATTGTTTTTTCTAAGCTTTCATGCTTTCATTGCTGTGTCTAGTTTTGTTACCTTTTCTTCAGGCCTTGAGAATCTGATTACTGTCCTAACCTTTCAAATGCCTTCTCCAGAGCATTTAAAGATGCGGAGAATCCAGGGATATGCTGCTGAAAAGTGTAACTCATGAAGGGCTCCAAATCTATGCTGAAAGGTGTAACTCATTAAGGGCTTAAATTTATGCTTGTGTTAGAGATTGCTTTCATATTTGTTTGATAAACAACAGCCTTCTCTAATTCCCCAAACTAAAAGCTACATTGAAATCTAGGGTTACTCGACTATCTATATGATTGCAGGATATACAGTTGAATCTTATCGGCTCTGACTGACGCTCAATGGTAGGAGCTTTTATGAGCTTGTACTAATCAAGTTGCTCCTTCCAAGGGGATCAACACTCAGGACAATTAATCTGTTTGCTGTCTGATTCGTAATGAGCTATCTCCAACTCACAGATCTGGTTTTTACTCAACTTGCTGTAATAGACATTTTCATTTCTTTATTTAAAAAACTTTTACATAGTAGTAGTAATAATATTTACTATGATTTAGAGACTGGGTCTTGTTATGTTGCCCAGGCTGGATTTGAACTCCTGAGCTCAAGTGATTCTCCTACCTCAGCCTCCTGAGTATCTGGGACCACAGACATGTGCCACTATGTCTGGGTGTTTTATTTGATTACATTCAAAATACACTAGAACATAAGAGTGAAAACAAATTTAGACACAGTGCAATAAACTTTAAAATGGAAGTAATTCAAAGTAGTTACCAAGCACTATGTAGCTCTGTGATCCTACTATCAAACCAGCTCTGAAAGTGGCCAAGCATGGGGATAGGGTGTGGCTATAAGAGGGTTGTGGAGACCCGACACAGACAGCCCCTGGATAGGAAACTGAGAGATGCTGTCAACGACTTCTTGGGAAAGGCCTTTCCTGTAATATTGAAAAGTCATTTACCTGATTCAGAGTATTTATAATCTTCTTCTAATGTTTCAGGAGAAAAAAATCTTTTCAAGATAGTACGAAGGCATCTTTGATCCCAGCTGTCTGTAACTCTACCACCATAGGTAATTTCACCTGAAAATAAATTTGTATTTTGAAATTATTGCTGTTTTTAAAAAATTGATAGGCATACCTAATTTTAAAATTTTAACATTTATTTATGTACACATTTATTTGGTACTGAAAATGGAAAGCACACAACAGAATTTCCTTCCACCACCCCCCTCAAAGATAATAGAAGTCAATTTTTGAAAAGTAGAAAAAATCTACTATATGTACTCTACTATCATTATTTTGCTGTTTTAGTTTTCAGAAACTAAAGCCACTGAGCTCTATCTACATATTTCTTTTTTGTTTTTGTTCTTTTGCTTTGAAATAGTGATTTTGAGTCTTATCATTGATTGCAGTATTCTAAAGCATACACATTTTCCATCAAACAGTGCTTCTTTCGGAGCCAATGAGTAAAGCAGAATCAAGTATTTGTAGCAAGGCATTCAACCTCTATATATTCCTTATTAATTATTGCTATCAGGGTAAGGAGGAAAGATAGATTCAAAGCAAAAGGGACAACTCACTTCACAGTAATGATAAGGAATTATAACTGATTAGTATCCCATCTCTCTTTCCACAGAGAAGCTACTTTCCATGTGTCATCCCCAAACTATGTGTAGCAAGGAAGCACACTGGAATCTATTGCTGATATAATTTCTTTAAAATTCCAGATCGATTGCTACAATTCACCATTCACCACTGTAGTGTTCCTGGAAGGATTTCACCTGTGATACCAACATTGTCAACTTCTGAATCCTTCAACTGTTGATCCATTCTCATCTCTATTTCTTCCATCACGTTAGGAAGAAAAAATTGTTTTTTCTTTCTCTTTCAAGCTGACATGGTTGGTTGAGAGAAAGTTATTTCAGTCTTTGGAATCTCAGTAATTTATTTCTTCCAAGACAGGAATGTCTTTATCTGCACATCCTGTAGAGATGCCTGTCTTCCCTCTCCTGCTGGAGTCACTCTTGTCAGTCTTGTTGGATAAGACACTCAGGGAGAGGGGAGGGGAAGTAGGTGCCAGGGCTGATGGTTAAGTTGCTGAATCCCTGTGTCGGCAATTCCAAGAGGTAAAAAGGAGACGTTCTGTATCTTTCTAGGAGTATTCTTTAGTGACCTTCTGGGGAAATCTTGGAACATAAAGTTGGGTTAAATCTCTGTTGTGGGTCCATCTAATATGGCCTGACTTGAAACTCCTCTTGGGTCCTTGGCGCTGGAACATAAAGCTCTAGTTTCTCCAATTGCATGATGATGTCAGGGGAAGAAGGGTGTCCTAACATATATTATTCTAAAATAAGTTTCTAACTAAAATATCTGCATTTTGACAAGAAGCACAGAAGTGTTTTCCTTACAAATCAACAGATTTTGTGCTTCTCCATCCAGATTTGACTCTATCCTTTTTCTTGGGTCAAACTGAGTAAACAAGGAACTCTGTCATTTTGACTCAGGGTAGACGTCTCACAGCTCACTTTCAAGAAGGAGTCTTCTGGCTTTGGTCTTCTTAGAGGAGGGACCGTGTGTGTGTGCACACCCGTGTGTGTGTGTGTACGTGTGTGCGTGCATGTGTGTGTGTGTGTGGTGGGGTCCACCATCCATGCCACCGCCTGGTCTGGCCCCAGCATCATGGTTCCTGTGGGTCCCACTGCAGAACCTAACATAGTGGCTTCCCCTTTCTCTTCCTTTCCCATCTCTGTGGGCTGACTTGGGGATGATCCAATAAAAATTGGAGAGGCCTGAGGTTTGACTTTGTCTTTGCCAACTTCGAGCTCAGATCCACCCCCAATACCACTCCTGGATGTGTGTATTGCTGTAACCTACACTATAAAATCTGAAGGTCTTCCTCCAATCCCAAATACCTTCCAGTATTTAAAGCCTCCTAAATATTTCTCTGTTTATTCTCTCCTGTCTAGTTTCCCCACTGGTATTGCTATGTCTCCATGTTCAATCCCTCATTTTGCTTTTATTATAGCTTTGTGAATTGTTGCACCTCTTCCTAACCTAAAAGACCATAATTGCTAACCAATGTTTATAAGTTAGAGCAAAATTTATTAGCAAGACACATAGGCCTTTCAGGATATGCCCCCGGCTTACCTTTTTTAGTGTTCTTGAAGACACAACTGCCCTCCATACACACTTCCTCTTCTGGAGCTAATAACTGTTTCTCTAGTAGTGCCATGTCCCACATACTGTTGGCCTCCCCTCACCCCTGCACCTTTATTGAGGTTTAGTTGGTATCCAAATAATGGCACACAATTAATGTATACAACCTGGTGAGTTTTGACATATGTATATACTTATGTTGCTATCTCCACAATCCGTATGGTAAACATATCCATGATCTCTGACAATTTCTTCATGCCACCCACTGTTTTATTGTGGTTAGAATACTTAACATGAAATCTACTCTCTTGACAAATTAATTTAAAGTACAAAATACCTTATGATTAACTGTAAGTGCTATATTGTACAACAGATCTCTGTAACTTACTCATCTTGTATAACTATAATTTTATACTTACTGAACAACAACTCCCCATTTTCCTCCTCCCTCTATCCTGTGATAGTCACCATCCTCTTGTCTACTTCTAGACTTTTGACTATTATAGAGGCCTCATATAAAAGGAATCATGCAATATTTGTCCTTCTGTGACTAACTTATTTCATTTAGCGTAATGTCAGTCAGGTCCATCCATGTTGTCACAAATGGTAGGATTTCTTTTTTTTTTTAAGGATAAATAGTATGCCATTGTATGTATATACTATACTTTCTGTATCCATTTATATGTTGATGGCTATTTGGGTAGTTTCCATATTTTGGCTACTATGAATGATTCATTATCTCCATCAGCTTTTGGTAGGCAGACATCCAGAATCTATCATAATAGTACTAATCAATATTTTATGAATTAATCCATAAACAAATGCCTAAAAAACTCACCATTAGCAAGTATCGCCACCTGGATAAAGCATTGTCTTTTTACTCCTATCTTTTTTAAAAAACCAGTTTCAATGAGATATAATTTAAAAAACCATAAAATTCACATAAAACATATATATAAAAGAATATATAT